AGAGAAAGAGAGAGAGATAGACTTACGGCTTCCCGCGGTGGAGCGGGGTAGCGTCCGTTCGTCGTCGTCCGTTGGCGAAACGTCGTCGTCAGCGTCGACGAGAGAGAGAGAGAGAGAGAGAGAGAGAGAGAGAGAGAGAGAGAGAAAGAAAGAGTGAGAAAAGGAAAATGAGAGCGAGAGCGATCTCCTCCGAGTGTCGTAACTCTTCGATGTAACTCTCCCGTTTACTCACGAGCGAGATCGAGTCACAGTCCCAAATATCACTACCGAGGAAAAACCACCCCCGAGATCACGAACTATCCTCTTCTTCTTCTTTTAGGCCGGCTGTCCACAACGGCGAACTGCTGCGGAGGCTGCGAGCCGCTCGCGGATAATAAGAGAGAATAAAGAGAAATAAAGAAAGAATGAAAGAGAGAAAGAGAGAGAGAGAGAGAGAGAAAAGATAGAAAGGAAGAGCGAGAGAGTCTCTCTCTCTCTAGCGGTTTCTTATCTCGCGTTCCTCTCGCGACGTTACATCGATGGGTTACACCAATCGAGCAGGTCCCACAGCGGTATGACGACGGTGGTGCAACGACGTCGCGACGACGACGACGACTACGACGATGACGAGGGTTGGCAGCGGCGGGACCAAAGCGACGAAGCGCAGAAGAAGAGAGAGAAGTAGGCCGGTTAACCGTTCAGGCCGCACTGAAGAGTCGAGCGAGCCGCGGGTTAGTGAGGGTGAACCGGCGGGCGGCCTGGCATCCCTTCCTCTCTCACATCCCTCCGACTCTCTCTCGCACCCCGCGCTACGCCACCGGCCGAGCACTCTCAACCCACCCCACAGCCCGTCGCCATCCCGCCGTCAGCCACCCGATCTCACCCTCGCCGCTATCTCGCTCGCTCTTCGTTACATCGCTCTACTCCAACCCGTCGGCACGACGGATTTAAAAGGACAGTTTTTGTAATAGGATAATAATAGTGAGTAATAATATAGTAGTGTGTGTAAAAAAAAAATAGTATCGAGAAATATTGTAGTAAGAATATAAAATTGTGATAAACTATAATAATATGATAATACTATTGTATAATGTATTAATAAAATAGAGTAAAATATACTTGATTATTAGATATAAATGATTTATAGATGTTAATGTAAAAATGATATACACAAGGATGCGAAATAATATCAAGAAACGTTATAATAAAAATAAAATTATGATAGACTATAATAATGCAATAATACTATTGTACAATATATAAATAAAAAATAGATTAAAATATACTTTGTTATTAAATAGATGATTAATAATATAAAGGTTAATATAAAAATAATACACACAAGAGAGGGAAAGAGAATGCGACATGTAAAATAGTATCAGAAAAAACATTATAATAAAAATAAAACTATGACAAAGAATACTATTTTATTATTAACTATATTAACTATAATAGTATAATAAATTATAATAACATAATAATTAGGAATGCACCGGATATCCGGAAAGAATCCGGTATTCGGTATTATCCGGCATTTTTTATTATCCAACCAGATAGCTGGATATCATTAATATCCGGGAATATATCTGATTGAAATTTGATAAATTGATTTTTTCTTATATAAATTTTAGAAATAAATATGCATATTCATGATGCTATAATATCTTATTCATTATTGCAAAATTACAATCTTTTTCTCTATAGGTCTTTTTTTCAGAAGATACTTTCTCGGAATCCGGTCGGATATCCGGAAAATGTTGAATATCCGATTCGAAGAAATTGCCTTCTCGGATATTCGATTTTACATTCTGTCCGAATAGTCAATATCCGGTATCCGGTATCCGGTAATTTTACGATCCCTAATAATAATAATTAATATTATTGTACAATGTAAAATAAAATATAGAACAAAATATACTTTGTTATATGATTTATAATATAAAAACTAATATAAAAATACAATACACAAAAGAATGCGAACATATAAATAAAGCAAAGGAATAATTCTCTTTATTAATCTTTACATTCATTTAGAGATGATTCCAGAGTGACTCTCGATAGGATGTCTCTTAAACGCTAGCCGTAAGCGAAATTTCCGCTCGTGGCGCATCCCTTTGACACCCTCCCTGATAATTTAATTACTCCGACGTTTTTCAGTACAAAGGGAAAGCGCATCGTCAATCTATTTAATAAAAACGTTGAAAATCAATTCAATAATCTACGAATCGATATACGTGTATAAACAGATGCTTAATCTCGGTAAACCAAAAAACTGTTTTTAAAAGATTAAACAGTCTGCAATGTTGCAAGATGTTTTACAATCTAATCTTCATTTTCATTGGGATTCAATGAAGAAGAAAAAACACGCGAGATTTATTGTGAATATACAATAAACAGAAATTAACAGCATAAAACATAAATCGTGCTCGAGCATATTTCGAGCATATGAGAAATGAAATTATCGAGAGCCAGGAAGGAAAGCAATGTCATTATCAATTATTCTTGAATTAAATGTAAGATAACGGAAAAACAAGAAAAAAGGAAGAAAATCAAAATGAAATGACATGCAGCATAAAAGAGACCAGGGCTTTTGATTAGTGATTTTTAGAAAAAAGTGGATGCCTAATTTTGAAATATTATGTACGTTATAATATACTTACATGCTTTAGGTATTAAAAAAATATTACTCATAAATTCATCACATCATAAAAATAAGTTATTTAATTTTAAATGAAACTGCAAAAATGTGATAATTAACTCCGTGTTTGGTTTGACCGTCACGCGCTCTAAGATTGGTAGTAGTATATTTACGTGTATCATGGACAACACATATAAAAAATACAATTTATATTTTAATATCAGTTCTATATTTTGAAAAATAATAATAATGGTATTAATTCAAATAAAAAAGTTATTTTAATCATAAAATACGTAATTTATTTTTTTACCGTAATTTCTATATGAAAAATGAAAAACATATATATCTACATGAAATATAATATATTTGTAAGTATATTTTCTAAAAATATATTCTCTAAAGTATATTCTCTAAAAATGTATTCTCTATTAAAATTAATTGTTATCTAATCTCATTTTATTTTTTGATCAATCTATCTCACATTGCCATTTTTAATAAAAGAGATTGTATTCACAAACTTTGTCAGGTTAATGATTAATTAATTGTAGCACAGATTTTCTAAAAAAACATGTCACTTTCTATGAATATAGGGATATCGCTATAATAATGCCAAAGACTTGTCAGACAACAAAATAGATGATAAGAAAAATTTACTTATACTACTTCATTTTCTTAAAAATCGTTATACATAATATACAATGCTTGTGCAAATCATTTTATATAAATTAATATATCAGCAATCTACAGTAAAAAAAAGAGATTTTTTTGCCCTTATTTTAATTAGATTTTCTTTCTTCTGTTTGAGTTATAAATATTTTGATAATCCATCTCCAGTCTTCTCTACAGACTCTACTTCAGTTCCATACTTTAAGTTTTTCATATCGATTGGCGTAATCAAATACGTGATATTGTATACTTGATAAGAGATCGGATAATGACCTATAATCTTGGCCAAAAATATTAGGCATTTATATTTTTTTATTTATCTATAATTCTTTTATTTGCATTGTTATTTATAATATTTACTGAAAGAAAAATATACTAAATTTTAATGAATAATTAATTTTAATGAATAATGTTTGAATAATACTAACGTAACATTTATTTACAGAAAATACATATTTGCTAAATAAAAAATAATGGTTAAATCAAATTTATTGATTTTGTAGCAAATAAATATATGTTTACATTTAATAAAGTAAAAAATATTTTTTTTTATAAAAAAAAATATTTATTAATATTATTAAAATTCATACATTTTTCTCTTAATGTTGGTTATCGGTATTATACATAAGTTTAAAGGATTCTTGAAATAAAGGATAATTTACAAGAAATATCATAAATCAATTTCTAAGCTAAAGCTTAAATAATGATTAATAAGGTGCCTAATATTTTTGGCCAAGGTTGTAATATATGGCATACTTTTCTCAATTACAACATCGTTCTTTATCTTACGTTATAAAAAAAGTGTAAACATAATTGCGTAGCATTTGCTAACGACTTAAGTTACAAACGATTCATGCATAATTATCACGTGTATTCCCTACCGAACATAAGTATCTATAAATATAGAGCCAAAAATATGATACCTAATAATCAGTGTCTTGCCGATTCTCACTCTGAATCTATCAGAATCTCTCCACCGAGAATATTCAGGTGCGTTTTTACGTCATTAATTCGCAAGAACGCTGATTGTTCGGAATTAGCGAATTCGATTGCTTTTAAGGATATTTTGGCTCTACAATATCGGCGAGAAGTATCAATCAAAAAATCAGTTCAAAAAGTCAATATCTGCTAATATTAGCAACAAATTTTTGTCATAAATTTGTTCTGAATTGCAAAAAAATAAAACAACAAAATTTGATTTATTATTTATTTTATGCGAAATGACCACATTTTGCTGCAGTTTATTAGAGTTTGATTTAATTCGTAATGCTACGATCTTATCAAATTTGCAAATAACTACTACAAATGCAATTTTATACAAGGCTAACAAAAAATTAAATAATTTTTGCACCAATAAGAGAATTATGTTTAACTTTTATACAGATACTGTAACATAATATTAAAACAATTTCTGAAATGTTTATATTTCTGGTAATGTTTTGAGATGTGACAACGTCCTCTAAGGCAGTCTAAGGCTGTAATCACACTGGTCGATTACGGTTGCAGGTTGTCGGTTTTATTTTAGCTAATCGAATAAATTTCGCTCGCATGATGCAGCGAGTGCAGGTTAACTGCAACATAATTGATGAAAATAGAACCGATAACCAGCAACTGTAACTGGCAACCTGTAGTGTGATTACAACCTAAGGATGTATCCTGATCCTCTTCGTCTTCAGAAGCGGTTAAATCGACCGTGTTTTCTACTTTGTACAGAAAAATGAACTTCGTAGTGTTCGGGCTTATCCTGATATGTTGCCATGCTGGGGCAATTGAGATAGACGATAATTGTAAGTAGATACCTATAGTATTTTCTTCTCCTCTAATATTTCTCTAGACATATATCGAATAGTATTTCTCCGGAAATATATTGTTCTTACAATTATATCACACTATGTTTGTCTATTTTTGAACGATCTACTTTTAAGCCGCTTATTTTGGAAGATTCTATTTCTCATTTGTCTGTTTTGAATGGTATTTCGATTTTTAATACAGAAATTTTAGACATTGTATATTTGAATAAGTCTATTTATGAATGTTTTATTTTTGTCGGTCTATTCTTCATATAGATCGATATCAATTTCCTACAGATCTTTCTGTGCTTCGTGTACTTTTTGTTCTAGTTTTTTTTTTAACACTTCATCAGAGAGAGGAATTGACATCATCATTATGCAATATCGACATCCTTACTTATTGTATTTAGCGCTGATTGATGCATATGTTTAGTTGCAGCTATACAGTTTGCCGGACCAAAAATAAATTTAGAAAATTTCTTCGAAAAGTTTAAGTCTTTACTGAAAAATGGAACCAATGGCCTCAAAATATACGGAATTCCGATTTGTGATCCGTTCATTGTGAACAAACTGCCCATCAAATATAATTTATCTACTTTTGTGGATAACATAGAGTGCGTATCAGTTTGAAGTAACACGTTGATCGCTAAAGCATCAATATACTTATCCTTAGTAGGTCGACAGAGAATGTTATCACGATTATAATCAATATCTTTTACTTGATTTTGTATTTTTTAAATTGTCGCCATATATTATGCAGTAGAATTTATACACTTAATAAAAAGATACAATGAATGTGAAAAGTATTTATACAGGGAAGATTTTTTTATAAAAAAAACCTTATTGATAAAAAATGAACTTTAATTAACAATTTATTAACAATAAATACATTCTTCTTTCTTAATATAAATAAAAGTTCTTCGCAAAAATAACTGTTTAAAAGCTAAATTTCTCGATTGTATTTCTTCTACGATCAAAAGAATATACTTTTTTATTTTTGTGATTAATATATTTTCATTACACAACTTTTTAAGTAAAATAATTTAAAAAATATGTAACTTATTTTATTTTTTGCTAATTAATGTTTACTTTTTAAAAACAAAGATCCTTAAAAAAATATTTTTTTTGTACGAATACTTTTTGCATTTAAAAAATATAATTTAGTGAGGAGAGATTCCAAGCGGAAATAAGTCATTATGATATCAAAATGATGTCAAAATGATTCCAAAATAATCATTAAAAGTCATTTTTTATCATTTTTTATTCATTTTAATGTCATTTTGACGTTACCGTGATTTGTTGTTCTGCTTGGGATCTCTCCTTATTCTTAATTTAACATGTCTTAGTTTAATCATGTATTACATATGATATGACAGTTTTAGTATCATAAACGATACATTATTAGACGAAGTAAAGAACGAAATTTATTAATGACGACTGGTAAATTTTTTATTTTTTCTTCGTGTCTTCAGCTTCAAGGGATTTCTTGAACATTTTAACGTGAGTAGTTTGGCCTCGTATATTGTCAATAGTGCTAAATTCAAACCATTTGATTTGAATGCCTACATAGATATAAGCTGGCCGTTGATAATCGCGAATACTAATTACTCCTTCAAAGGCAACATCCTTAACTACGATGTTTATGGAGGTGGAGATATAAAGTAAGTATTTGTTCCTTTTGAGAGAATTTAATTATCATATTTCGATCGCAATTTTCTAATATCTATGGCACACGAAAAAGAATCTTGCTGCCAATTTTTGCATTTTATTATTTATCAGTAAAAGAGATAGAAAAATTTTAATCTTTAACGAATGTATATTAATTTCAATTAGTATTATCATAATAATATATTGTGATTACCTTTATCGTAATTAAAATAAATAATTGTTTATTATCATTAGCATAATTATAATTGATCATTATTATCATCATTATTGCAGTGAGAAAGATCGCTGACTTTCCTCGTAAAAAACACTCGTTTTCTGCTTCATCTATATTTAACTACAATGCTTAAAATATGTACGTGAAAAAAAACGGGAGCTAGAATGACTGACAATGAGTTAGCTGTTTTTCATTCAGCGCTTTATCAGGCGACGCCAACTGCGACAAAGTGCGTTATTAAATCGTGAATTTATATGTTTCGTGCGAAACACGCGATCGCGCCGATCCGCGATCTCGCGTTCAGCTTTCTTACGGTCGGTGGTCAAGCTCACCTTTAGCAAATGCGAAACTCAATTGAGATTGCTTTGATGGAAATTTCAACGGGATTTTTTTTAGATTTAAGATAATTTATCGTTCCATTATTAAATTGAATGATAAATTTATATTTAAATGAATCTTTTTAACATGCACAAAATCAGGAAGAAAGATCTTTTTGATGGCGTTTATTTAAAATATATAATAATTAACTATTTTTTGTTAATAAATACTATTCCTTTATAATTAAGTTCCTTTCCAAAATTATGTACTGTAAAAAGAAGTTTAGTTATAATTATCAAATATTGAGTGAAATAATAATTTGTAAAGGTAAAATTATGTTTAGTTATTATCTCGATATTTATTTAAAATTATTTCATTCGATATTTGATGGCTATATAATTGGTACTTTTTTTAGTGCAAGACACATTTTATAATATTTTTCTTTCTATTTTATTTATTTCTATATTTTATCTATTTCTATATCTATATATTTTATTTCTGTGCATCTCGATAATTTTTTAAAGTAAAAACTTGAGCTCCCAAAATCTTTAAAGCTACATAGGTATATTTAATTTTTAGTGGAACCCTGTATAACTTCAGAATTATTATGAATGTTGATTTCAACTTGAAGAACAAGCATATGCAAGTTCAAAATATAGAAACAAAGACTTTCTTGGAAGCATTAGATGTAAGTAATTAAGTTGTAGTTTTGTCAATTCTTTTCTGGATTTTGCGATTGTTGCGCTCTCAGGATTCGCATCTATAAGCGATCAGATTAATACAAAAATAATATCGAATATAAAATAAATAAACATTTACATTAACATTAGATAACTTTTTGAAAAACAAAATACATACATAATTTTTAAAATTCTATTAACGATTTTCATATTGTTCTCAAAATAAAGAATAATTCAAATTAAATGTTAGAAGTTAAAAGAAAAATGATGAAGAAAATCAAATAAATCGCTCTACCATTTTATATTTCAGATAATGGATTTTCTTGATCAGTTTTCTCATGTAAATGTAAGCTTATATTACAAGTTTTCTCTACAATGTCATTGCACATTTAATATTTAAAAATTTTGACGAATAATTTATTAATTTTTTCAATACGTTAAATAATATATGTTAATTTCTTGATTACATCAGTTATTATGCGAGAAAATTGTTATTTATACGATATATCAAATTAACACTGCCACATTTCTTGCCTTTCAATTTGCATATATAAAAAGGCGACCCAGTCACACTGCTACTAGCAGAGATATCGATCTTCTACAAACTACTATTATAAAAAAGATTTGAAAAATCTACATCTCATTTTGTTGAAAAAAATTATTATTAAAACTTTTTGACTAATAAGCATATATTTATAAATAATGAAAATATATATAAAATAACGTAAATTATAAAAGGATTAAGCAGATAGAAAAAAAGAAATAAGTTGACTATGAAAAGTCGACTATGAAAAGTCTAATCATGAAGGCTCCATAAAACACTGATTTAATTGGAAACACCGATTTCTCTAATCGATTTTAATAAATTTATTTTACTTGAAAAAAATTATAAATATGCAATTATAGGAGTTTGACATTTTACATGCAACGGCTCCGTAGAGAAGTTTATTTAAATCTCTCAAACATTTCTCAATGAATTCGATTGTATGGAATAAAAACAATTAATTTTCTATTAAAAAAAAATTTTCTATTAAACAATTAATTTTCTATTACTATCTAATTATTTTCATTACTAATTATTTTTTTGATTTCTAATAAAATTTTCTTTCCTATCATCCGCAGTTTAACGCAACGGCCTTTTGCAACGATAAGGACATATCCGAAATATTCAGCAAGACGATCTCCGATGTTACGTCTAAGTTCACCGCCCAAAAGATCCAAAAGATTGCGTATATTATTAATAACATTGTCATATGGATTCTCAACAAATTTCTATTAACTATGACATTTCCAGATCTATTGAAAGTAATAGGTTTGTAATACTTTTCTATCATGTTGGCGCCACGCTATCGTTCAATCAATCATTTCTACAACGATTGATCCCAGTTGAATGATACAAATACATGATAATGCACTTAAAGAGTATTTGTTGATAATATCGTCAAAGACAGAAAATTTTTAACGAAGCTTATTTTGTATTAAATTTATTTCTGCAATACTAATAAAAAAGTATAAAAATCGCAAGCGTGAAAATATTTCTTTCCTTTATAATAAGATTTTCGCTTTCTTTATAAATTTTATTCTTTATGTTATTTTTATACTAATATTAAAAATAGAAAATCGATACCAATTAAAAGTAATATAACATTAAATTAAAAATAAGGTAATACTAACATAATTTGTAAACAAACTGTAAGAACATTTTTTAAAATAAAATTAATATTTATGATATATTAAATAACACGTATTTTATTCATTTATCTTAGAATTTATCTTTTAAATATTATTTTTATGTTATTTTTATGTTATTTGCTCATTTAAGTAACACATAAATTACATTACTTTGATACTAACAAATGTCAAATATCATTTTAGCACAAAATATTTAAATTAAACATATTGTAATTATATTATGTTAAATTAATACTTGAATATGTTAAAAATTAATACTTTAATATGTCAAAAAAAATTTTAACAAGGACTTAAATAGATCAACATAAACATAAAATGTTTTCTATTGTGTGTGTGATAAAATACGAAAGAAAAAAAAATATGCCTTATATTATGTCATATAAAATTTCATAAAAAATTATTTCTAAAAAATAAATGTGTAAATATATTTTTTGTCTTGCACAGGTAATGAACAGACTTTGAAAATACTATACGTTCGCATGATATCGCATTTATCAGAAAAAAAAGATTCGATAAATCTACAATACAATTGAGGGAAAACGAGAAAGAATTTAAGATTCAATTAATCTAATCTTTTTTATTATGTGCGTATTGTCACAATTCTTCATTTTATCGTGCTATCTTATATTAAAATGTCGCTACAATACAATTAAAATTGAATTATTTACTTATTTCAATTGTATAATACATAAATTTATATCTGTTCTATTGCATAAAATAATATTTATCATATTACAAAAATCTATATTTTTGTTATAAGTATATATTTTTTCAGTTAAATAATATTACGAATTCATAATGTTATCTATAATATCATTTATGTACGATATTAATTTTTTTTTTTAGAGAGTTTAGCGAATACTCAAACTCTATTCATTTAAAAAGAAATGTAATTTTAACTTTTATATTTTTATACAAATGTGTCAAATATTCACTATTAAATTAAATAACACTATTGAATCAAATAAATTGTCATTGCTCATAAAAAAATTTTAATTGTGAAATAAAAAATATTAGAAAGACACAAAATATTCTTTTCCATAAAAAAAGGTTTAGTAATAGTTACCAAATATTTAATGAAATAATGTTAATTAAATGTTTGAATGATTAATATGTATAACTGAATAATTTTTTACTTTCTTAAATGTTTATTAAGTTATAGCTTATTAATGTTATCTGCATTTATATAGATATTATTATATACAAAAATTTTTTTTTAATGTATTAAATGTGCAGAAAATCACATATCGATTAAAAAAAATTTGTACAGTATTTTAATTCCTGCCAAGACTGTGCATTATCTTTACATACATCACTTGATTGTTACACAAGTTGCAGCATAACAAGCTGATTTATAATCTAATCTTCAGTCTAATCTCTGGTTTTGATAAGAGACGCAGGACTCATTATAAGAAAACAAATCCATTACGCCAAAATAAAATTAATCATAATAACATAATTGCAGTTAATTGCGCTTCCTATACATATACACTACGCGACGTGAAAAATCATGCCATTAACAACAACTACTTCGAGATTTTCAAGAAAACTCAATGGAATTTTTCAATAAAAGAATAATGAAAAATACATAAAACTTTGCATGTTTTCGTAAGAAATCAAATTTCTTAACTGAACAAAGATCGAATCATTATATGATATGCGTAATCAATAAGAAACCTTGATTCGATATCAGCGAATTGTGCCTATAAATACGTCCACATTTTCTTCAGCTCGCAGTTTTGTTTGTGCTGTCTAAACAAACGCAAAGTTGGACGGTTGTCAAAATACTGGTGTAAATCAACTTACGACGAACCGTATGTAAACAATACATGATTGTTCTAGGCCTTGAGGGCCACAAAGTTTTCATAGATAATAAAAAATATACAATTTCAAGCACAAAAGATACTAAACACAAAAAAGTGATGAATCAACTAAATTTATTTAACTAAATTTAAATGAAATTAAATTTTTTTCGGCTTCCGTGTCTCTTAAATATCCGCGTCGCAGAAAGATGCGAAAATATATTTGATTGCGAAAATATATTCGATGTTTTTTTACGATAATAATATTGGCTAATAATAATAACGAGAATTTGTTAGCTTTAAGGCTGGATAAGTACTGTGACAGCATAACTAATAATAAATAGACCATATTTTCTACTTCACGCAGAAAAATGAAGCTGCAGGTAATGTTCGGGCTGATCCTAATCTGTTGCAATGCAAGGGCAATGAAAATAAACGGTAAACAGATATCTATATTTTTTCTTCTATAATTCCCTTTATTTCTCCTATATTTCTCTAGAGATACATTTCTCCAAGCTAGTGATGCGCAATTTTTTTAAGAATTATTTTCAAAAGGATATTTTTAGAATCTTTAAAATCAGGACATTTAAAATCTTTCGGGCTGTATAATTTATTTGCTGTTTATTTCATTTGTATAAAATAGAAAATATGATTTTATATTTCCGGCTATGAGCCAAAAATTCACAGATAAATCACATGCGACCCAAGCAAACCGCAAGTTATGCAACACTGTACCAAACGATATTTTTCTAAAAGAGTAAATTGTTCATATTATTTATTTCATGCCTATTTTTATATTGTCTATTCTTCAATCTGCAGTTAAATTATTTGTTTTTAAATATTCAATTGTTTTTTTTTAATACTTCTCTTGAAATATTATATATTTTTAATTAAAAAATCTTAAAAAATTGCATATATTTAATAATTGCATATATTTAATAATCTATTTATCGTATTATCAGATTATTATCACGAATTAATTATTCTTTTATATTATTATAATTTTCACAATTTTACGCTTTTATTATTAATACGTTATTAAGAATATAATTAATATTATTAATTTTTAAGACTATTTTTTTACTCATTTTTTCAAAAATACCAGATATTTCTCTCTTTAATAATATTTCAACGAAAATATAAACCTTTGCGTAAGCTAATAATAAAATAATTGTTATCTGCAAAATTTATATAAATTTTATTTTTCCTTAGCAGAGCCGTTTGGAAATCCGCTGATACAAGATGCTCTCGAGAAGTTAAAAAATACTTTGAAAACAGGAAACGAGAAACTTGGAATTCCGATTCTTGATCCATTTAAAGCGGACCGGCTTGCGATTAATGTTAATGAGGACGAAATAAAGTACGTGTCGTTCAATTTTTTATTATAATTTTTAATTATTAGGTGTACAACTTTGCTTCCGCCGTTTTTTTTTCCGAAATTCGAGGCTTTATTGTAAAAAACTGGTTATACATTTATGATTCAAAGAATTGTCCATCGCTGGCTACTTTCTCCCATCTTTCGGGTAGCGTACGAATCCCGCGTCGAAAAAACTGGTCATCTTTTGAGGCTATCCACGAATCGATCCAATTTTTTACTTCTTTATAAGACCGGAAGTGCTGGTTAGCCAGGCCGTGTGCCACTGATCGAAACAAGTGATAGTCAGAGGGAGCAACGTCTGGAGAATACGGCGGGTGGGGTAGGACTTCCCATTTCAACGTTTCCAAATGTCTTGACCACTTTCGCAATATGGGGTCGAGCATTGTCATGCTGCAAAATTACTTTATCGTGTCTCTCGTTGTATTGCGGCCATTTGTCTTTCAATGCTCGGCTCAAACGCATCAATTGCGTTCGATACCGATCGCCTGTGATTCAGTCGATTTTAATAGTTCATAATACACTACGCCGAGCTGGTCCCACCAATACAGAGCATGACCTTGATCGTCAAAATCACCGTTCTTGAAGCGTTGAAACCACTCACGACACGTTCTTTCACTAATAGCGGCCTCACCATAAGTATTTGAGAGCATTCGATGAGCCTCAGCCGCAGATTTCTTCATATTGAAGCAAAAAATTAAAACCTCCCGCAAATGAGGAGAATTTGGCTCGTAAACTAACATTTTCAATCGAGAATAACTTTATGATGCAGACACAAATCGACTAATGTTTCTATGGGGTTATGTTGACAGATGCCCAAGTTTATTGTATGACGTCTATGATCTATTTATTTCGACCACCACTTACCGCTAAAGCCATCTATAAGAAAACGGCGGAAGCAAAGTTGTACACCTAATACATAATATCTATAATGTGAACAAAAAAAGTTACAAAACCCAATATTGTTTCATTTCATATTTTTTCATTTGAATTTATTTTGTTCATTATATATATATATATATATAGAGCTGTAAATCTGTTCTCGCTTATCTTCTTTTTAGTAAACTGTAAGCATAGTTCAATATTTTTGACAAATACTTTTTTTAAATAGTATAATAGTAACATAGTAATATAGTAATAGGTAATGATTTGCGTCATTTTACTTAAACAAAAAAAAACAAAATGTGTTTATCAATTAAATTTATAATTTTTTAAATACTTTTTAACATTATAAATTTTTTATCTCTTTTGCATATTTTCAGATTGAATGCGAATTTGAGTACGTGCAATGCAAACGGTTTATCTGGATATGATGTCATCAATGGGGATTTGTCCATGGCCAAAGACATTGTCTTATCGCTTCATCTTTCATGGCCATTGATCACCGCGAATACTAAATACGACATGAAAGGCAAAGTCGACAATTTCGAACTTTTCGGCAATGGTGACAT